AGAAGAAGAAGAAGAAGAAGAAGAAGAAGAAGAAGAAGAAGAAGAAGCCATGCCCACCCAGTCACATGGCCATGCCCATCTAGCCATGTCCACAGAACCGGTTATTTAAAACATTGAATCCCACCCCTGTATATAAAGCAGTATAGATATACAGTAGATCTACTGGCCAGTTTGCAGGGTGGGGGGGGAGACACCCTTCCTTGCTCAGGAGCCAAAATACACCTTTGTTTGACTCCCTTACTCTGGCTTTATATTTGAGAATGCCTGGTGTAGTGTATCTCAGCATTAAACTGATATCCCCCTGGAGCATTTGTAATATTGTCAATTGCAGATGCTTTGAGTTTGTTCCAAAGAGTTTCTCTAAAGATGGAGTCAAATGCCTCATTGAAATCTAGAAACAGCATTGACGCTAAAAAATATTGGACTAGGATACACACGTGGTTGGAAGAAATGATAAAACAACACATAGACTTAAAACCAGAGACATTTTTATTGGGAATTTTGCCTGAAGGTTACAATAAAGAGATATCGTACTTGATTATCAATGTATTGACAACAGCTAGAATTGTATTTGCACAAAATTGGAAAAATGAGAACATTCCAATGGAAGAGGAAATAATTAAGAAAATAACGGAATGTGCAGAAATGAGTAGATTGACAATGGCAATTAGAGAACAGGAAGAAAAAGATTATTATAAAATTTGGAATCTATTTTATGAATGTCTAGATAGAAGAGTCAGAAATTGAAATATGTAATAATAGTATAATGTAATTGATTGAATTAGTGTGAGTTAAAAATGAATACAGTTTAAATAAAGATGAAATATATTCTTGAAAGACAATAATTATAATGTTAATTGATAAATGCAATATAAAATATTGATTAGAATGGCTATAAATATAAACAAGTAAGAAATGTATGATAACATGATTCTGAGCACAAGAGATAGGTACCCAACCAACACACTGTAGAATTGAAAGATGGTTTTGTTTGTTTATCTTTGTTACAAAATTAAAAAAACTTTAAAAAAATCTAGAAACAGGGCAAGGAAAGGCATGGTTTAAGTGGCTGAGTATATTTCACAGTCAAGACTGAGAGTATCGGTTCTGAATCAAGCGTGGAACGATCTGCCTGTTCAGACTACTATCTCAAACTAATTTTGTAATTCTGTTTCAGAAGTGTCTCTGTCACTGCCTGGTCTACCTGGGCTAAGGTACCAGGCTTCTGTCTGCAACAGCAGCAGAAGGTGATCATCCACTCTGCGTATAAATTAGGACACTGAGTTGTCAAAGCTCTTGATGTAAAATCTGAGATGAATAGGGAGAAACTATTCATTTTTTGAGGGTGTGGGGGTTTGGGCGTAAATTTTAAACCCAAAATTTAAAAGAGAGGGAGGGAAAGGAGCCAAATACAGGTGCTTTCATGAGATTTAAGGAATTGCCAGATGAAAAAAGCATGCAGTAGCTCACATTTCCATGCTTGTGGTTATTAATGTGTGCAATTTCTTTTAAGGAAGCAATTTATTTCCTCTGCTTATTTTGCAACTGAGAAATAGAGTATTTATACAAACGCTGACTGTAAACTAAAGCAGATGTAAGACTCATCCAAACCAGATACGAAAAGTCTGTTTTCAGAGCAAGACAGAATTATTTAAGGTAAGATTGTATATATACAATATCTCAAAAAAGAAAATCAGGGTTACCCCTCCCAGTTTTTCCCCTGAGGTGTCCTCCAAAGTATCAGCATCCCATAATTGTGATTCTATTCCATAGATATGGTAGATGAATCATACTTTAGTTGATTAATTGACTACAAATTTGCATACAATATTGCTTATAAATTGAATACAAGTGGTTCTGAAGCAAGGTATATACAATATGCTTAATAGCAATCTGTTCTTCTCTAGAAAAGAAGAATGAGGTGTCTGTTTCAGATAGTCTTAACAATTTTCAGCTTTTTAAAATACTTGTTAAAGTTTTTAATAATAGGAATAGCAGTTAAGACTTAGATACTGCTTCAAAGTGCTTTACAGCCGTTTACAAGTTAGCATATTGCCCCCTGAAATCCTGATCCTCATTTCATCCATCTCGGAAGGAAAGTATTATATAACTTCCTACCCAAATTTTAAAATACGGATTCATATTGGAAAACATGCATAATAAGTTAAAATTATAATATTTGTCAAAGATATTACCAAGTATAATGATATGTCAGCCTATAGTCTCTAAATATTGTTAATTTCTATACATTGTATAGTGAAGTGAAATGTGAATGTGAAATGTGAAAATTACAATTTGAAACTGAAAGCAGATTTAGATGTTTTTACTGAAGCACTATTTTTGATGGTAGCTAGAAAATAAATCATATTATTTCATTAATGCAACATTGCTTGCAAATTATATCCAATATGCACTAATATTTCTTTTTCTGTTGTTCGCTAATTTTACAAAATAAAGTTATAAATGTTCCATTTACTATGTACGGTGTGTTCTTTGTGCACATATGTTAAGAATCTGGGAAAAGCAAGCAGAGCACTTTCCCTTCACATTTTCTTCATGCTTCCTCTTTTGTGGTTTCTTAGCGAAGCACGATCATATTGTTTGGATAGTTAGCATGAAAGCCCTAATCTGAAGCTGGAATTACTGTTCTTTCTACTCTTCTTCTCTCTATCTGTAGGAAATACGGACTTTCTCTTCTTAACATTTTCTATAATTATTGGGTGATTGTTTTCCTACCTTTCTTCATCTAATCATCATCAGATTGATTATGCACTTGCTTTTTATAGAATTCTTTATAGAACAGGAATTCTTTATTGGCCAAGTATGATTGGACACACAAGGAATTTGCATATGCTCTCAGTGTACATAAAGAAAATAAAAAATAAAATACATTCATCAACAATCGTAAGATACAACACGTAGTGATAGTCATAGGATACTAATAAGCAATCAAACCAAACTAGGAAACAAATAAAACAATATAAATTGTGAAGATACAAGCAACGTGGTTATAGTCATAAGTGGGAGGAGGTAGATAATAGGAAGGATGAGAAGAATAATAGTAATACAGTCTTACTAAGTAGTTTGACAGTGTTGTGGAAATTAGTTGTTTAGCAGGGTGATGGCATGGGGGGAAAACTGCACTTGTGTCTAGTTGATCTGGTGTGCAGTGCTCTATAGCGTCATTTTGAGGGTAGAAATTGAAACAGTTTATGTCCAGGATGTGAGGGGTCTGTCGGTATTTTCACAGCCTTCTTTTTGACTTGTGCAGGATACAGGTCCCCAACTGAAGGCAGGTTGTTTTTTCTGCAGTCCTAGTTATACTCTGAAGTCTGTGTCTGTCTTGTTGGGCAGCAGAGCAAAACCAGACAGTTATAGAGGTGCAGATGAGAGACTCAATCATTCCTCTGTAGAACTGGATCACAGCTCTTTGGACAGTTTGAGCTTTCTGACTTGGTACAGAAAAAACGTTATTTGTTGTACTTCTTTTGATGATGTTTTTGATGTTAGATGTCCATTTTAAGTCTTTAGATAAGATAGAACCTAGAAAATTGAAGGACTCTACTGTTAATACTGTGTTGTCTAGTATTGTAAGAGGTGGTTGTATTCCTTTAGGAGGGTTTCTCCTAAAATATACCACCATTTTACAATTTTGAGTGTATTTAGTTCAAGATTGTTCTCGTTGTTCAACTTCCCATCTATATGCAGATTCATCGTTGTCTCAAATTAGACCAGACACCGTTGTATCATCTGCAAACTTCAGTACTTTAACAGAAGGATCATTTGAGATTGCAGTCATTGGTATAGAGGGAGAAGAGGAGAGGGCCCACAGCCTTGGGGGGGGGGAGCTGTGCTAATTGTACAGGTATGTGATTTTTGCCTACCTTCACCTGCTGCTTCCTGTCTGTTAGAAAGCTTATGAGCCATTTACAAGTGTGGTTGGGTACAGCCAGCTGATTTAGTTTAGTTAGAAGAATATCTGGAATGATGGTATTGAATGCCGAGCTGAAGTCTACAAAGAGGGCCCTTGCGTAGGTCTTTGGAGATTCAAGATGTTGCAGGATGTAACACAGAGTCATATTAACAGCATCATCTGTCGATCTATTTGGTCGGTAAGCAAATTGCAAGTAGTCTTAGAGTGGATCCATGATGGTTTTTAGGTGGGCCAGCACCAGCCTTTCAAAAGTCTTCATAACCACAGAATATTAGAGCAATTGGTCTGAAGTCATTCAGTTCCTTGATGAAGAGTTTCTTCAGATTTAGAATGTATATATTTAGTTATAGAAGCAAAAGGAACATAAAGTTTTATTTCCTTTAAATAGACATATTTGCCTGTATAAACCCAATCTCGGCTCCCCATATCTATTTGTAAACTGTTTAGCTTTGTTATATACCACCTAGAATCACTTGCTAGTGAAATAGGCAACTACATAAATTGGATAAATAAATAAGTAAATAAATATAATCAATCTAACCAGAATTGGTGTACTCAGGGAAGTGGAAGAGCATGTCATATATATTAAGTCTCATCAGCCTATATTTTATGGAAAATGAAATCATCACAAAATGAAACTTGGAATATGTCAGCAGCGTCTATTAAACTGTCAGAGAAATAAAGCATTCCACTATTATTTTATTCATTATTAGTTAAGTTAATAAGCCCTTTAAAGCTTTCAGTATGAGGTTACAGCCTTTTCAAAGACCCAGAGTATCCTACATAGATCTTTCCATCGACATAATGGGGGCTTTCAAGATGGAAACTCCTCTGCTGGACTGGTTGCTTTCATGGTGTGGAGACCATAACTTGGTCCTCCACACCAATAAGACCAAGGAGCTGATAGTGGACTATATAGAAGGAACAGATCAGACCTCCAGCCCTGGCTTATCAAGGGAGACCGAGGGGAGCAAGTGGCCAGTTTTAAGTTTCTGGGTGTTATCCTAAAGGATGACCTGACCTGGGGGGTTCACATTGCAGCCCTGGTCAAAAGGGCCCAGCAGAGATTCTATTACCTGAGGCTTCTCAGGAAACAACAACCGGATGAAAAACTGCTGGTGACCTTCTACCGCTGCACCAGAGAGACTTTCTTAACTTACTGCACCTCTGTGTGGTTTGCCAATTGCACAGGGGCAGATAGGACGGCGCTCCAGAGGGTTAAGGTCATTGCCCAGAAGATCATTGGTTGCCCTCTCCCTTCTTTGGAAGAGCTTTAGAGCTCCCGCTGCCTTAAGAAAGTTCAAAACATCCTCAAAGATCCATCTCATCCTGGGCACCCTTTTTTTTTTAACTATTACCATCTGGTAGATGGTACCGGAGCATTAAAAAGAAGGACAAATAGGCTGAAAAACAGCTTCTATCCCAGTGCAGTAGCTCTGTTGAATTCTACTGTATAGTGCAATATGAATGCAATATCAGGGGTTTTTCCATTCAATTGTATAGAATGTGAAGGATGTGTGTTTGTGTTTTATTTTTATGGTCATTATGTACACTGAAGATGCATTTAATTTTGTTATATGAGGTGCAATGACAATAAAAGTAAACTAATTCCTCCCCATCAGCATAGGGACAATCCCATCCCATCCCAGCTTCTTCTATTAATCCTTCTTTTCCTTGACTTATGCTGCAAACAGTTTATTAGATGTATTATGTCTCATGCATTTGACTTGATAGTCAAAATAAAACCATTAGACAAAAGAGCAGGGGAATCTGGCATATCCTAAAGAACAAACATTTAAGAATCAAGCTTCCTCTACAAGGAATCAGGCTTTCCCTGAATTGAACTTTAACACTAGAGAAGCGTTACAGGAATTTCTTGTTAAATTTTGGGAGAATAGCAGATCCATTGGTTTTATTAATGATTAATCAAACATCACTTTGCAGTCACGGAGATAACTTGGAGAAAAAACTCTGCAGAAGGATCTATTCCTTTTTGTTGCTGTCACATGAAAGTGTATTTTGTACATAAATTGACATACACTGCAAGACACTCTTATTTGTAAGAAAATTCTAAGTTGCACACTGGTAAAGATGGGGACAGTCTGGTTTTTCTCTTTCCATGCATTTCATATATGTGTATATGTGTATATGTGTGTGTGTGTGTGTGTGAGTGTGTGTGTGTAAGAGAAGAAACAGACATCTTGCGTATCTCCAGAACTAAAATTATATTTATTATACTTACTAAGCTTTCGTCAGCCTCTGCTGACATCTCAGAGTATTAAGCTACCATTACAGAAATCTATGCCTTTATATATCATTAATCAATTTAACCCTTGCATAGGTAATAGGCTCTTCCAACTGCCTCCTACCTGTAATTAACTCTGTTGTTTTTGCTTCAGTCAGGTTGGTTGAAGGAGATTTAACTTTTGTTGTTTCCCCCCTTGTCAGACCCAGCCTGGACTGCTTATCTCTAAGAAGTGATGTTAACCTGCCAGCTATTTGCAATTTGCTGCTTTGCTCATGACCTTGTGTCCAGCCTGGCTTGTTCTTCATTATTCCTGTCTGTTATAATGGTAACGGTATAACGGTATATAAGCTGAAATGGTAGCTTAATACTCTGACAATGTCAGCAGAGGCTGACAAAAGCTTAGTAAGTATAATAAATATAATTTTAGTTCTGGAGATCACAAGGTGTCTGTTTCTTCTCTTACAAGTATACCTG